AGTGTTTTGTCTCCTCCTGTGGGGTCCCCTCAAGCCCGCCCTCTGCTCTTTCCTTCCTTCCGTGGAAAGCAGTGGGAACCTACAAGCGGGGTGGCGGGGAGGGGCGAGGCTTCCTTGTGTAAGGTAAGTCCCTTTGCTCCAGCCATTCTCGCTCCCTGACCCATGGTGATCCCTCAGGTTTTCCTTGAAGCAGGGAGAGGAGGAGGAGGATGTATGTGTATATTTGTTTTCTGGCCCATCTGCTTTAACTTTACTTAATCTTTCAGTGACCCTTTCCTATCATCCCTCTTTTCTGATGACTTGAGACGCATACCAGCCATCCTATGTAGAATGTCCTTATCGAAAAAATCTCACTACCCAGTCACTGCAGTTGAGTCATCAAAATATGAGAAGATTTCATACAGATAATGTTGGAAAACTGTTCTGATTACATGCAGTGCCTGTCAAATGAGATTTTATTTGCAGACTCTAAATGTTTTAGAGCTGGTAAGGACGGGGGCAATCCAGCCAAACCCCCTACCCTTCAGATGAAGAAATGGGAGCTGGGTGTGATGAGACTGTCTGTAAGCCCACAGCCCCTGCCCTGGATCTCTGCCCGTGATAAGTTGTTCATGGCAGCTGTCTCTAACCCGTGATAATGCACCTGGAACCAGCAGGGAGTGTGCATGTCCAACGATGGAGGCAGCGTTCTCTGTTGGTCAGCTGTTTGTACTTACCCAAGCCTTGCGGGAATTATGTGCAGCTTTCATTTTTGTCTCTTTGAAGCTTGAAGAGTAATCTGCAGTTTTTCTACACGGTCGTCTGTTCATTGGCTTTGGTGGAACACCTGATGACTTGGATAATGGTTTAGTGGTTTTTCCTCACTGTCCTCCCCGTCTAGCACCACTGAGCCGAGGGCCGTATTTCTCTGCCAGATCCACGCGGTAGGAGCTTGGAGTTCCCTACCTTTCCCCATTTTGAAAAGAAGACGTGAAGTGGGAAGTACAGCGTTCAAAGACAGCGTTGTGTTATTCTAAAGTAGCCGCAACTAAGTGCCAAAGAGACAGGGTTTCTAGTCTTTGGGAGAAAAGGAAACAGACCGAGTTGGGCTGGAAACTAAAGGTGGGGTGGGGCGGGGGAGCGGAAGGGGAGAGGCTGGTAGCAGTACGTGTAGTAGGGGCGGTGGTGATAGTAGGAACTGCCGCAGCAGGACAGTGTTTCAGCTCACTGCTCTTTGTCTGAAAGAGCAGTCTCCAAACCTTATGTGTCAAGGTGACTCTTAGATTTTATTAACTAATAAAATTTAAAAATTAAAATATGGGTTTACTGCACGTGAACTCCATAAATGCCATTTGTTAATAGCGGTTGTGTTGGTGGTGGTAACATTAAATTATATCTTTGGATGGATTTCTTACCAAATTACTAGACTACTTATGACATGAATTAGACATGTATCAAATCGTATCTTGCTAATAATACATAAAATAACATCCTGAAAAAAGTAACTATAAAATACTAGTTCTGTTCTTTGCTAACAGTGATTTCGTTTTAACAGACATTTTACTTTACTGAAATCAGGAACTTTAAGTGGAGAAACATCCTCTGTGTTTGAAAATTGAGTGGGCGGTTGCTGGCGCAGTAAATTTGTTTCCACTGTAGACCTAATGCATCATCTTAATGCAAACAGTGAAAGGATGAAACCCTCTACTAGGTTTCTTGTGATTTAGTAGTAAGGCGCTATAATTTCTAGAGCCTTCACAACCTGGCTGCAGAAGAAGTCTTGAAACAATGTAAGGTATCTGATAGAGCAGGCTGACGTTGGTGTGGTCCTGCTCAGGTATGCCTTGTAGTACTGTGTTCTCTTCGTGGTACCTGATGATACTTTGGTACAGAAAGCCATCAGCTTCTGAGATAATAGTACAGAAAGAGAGAAGGTAGAGTTCAGTTATAATAGTAACATTAAAATCTCAAATATTTATGTTGCTTTTTATTTTTTATAGTTTACAAAGCACTATTGTAATATTTATCTTATTTTACCTTCACTTACTCATCTCCTATGTTCTTCCTTTCTTTATGTAGTTCTGAGTTTCTGACCTGTATCATTTTCCTTCTCTGAAGAATTTCTTTTAACATTTCTTGCAAGGCATGTCTACTGGCAACAAATTCCCTCAATTTATGTTTGTCTGAGAAAGTATTTTTCCTTTACTTCTGAAGGATAATTTCCCAGAATAAAGAATTACAAGTTTGTGGGTTTTTTTTTCTTTTAATGCTTTAAATGTTTGATGTTTGGGTCCTGTCTCTTCTTGCTTACATGGTTTCTAAGGAGAAGGTACATGTAATTCTTACCTTTGTTCCCCTGTAGGTAAGGTTTTTTTCCTCCTTTGTCTTCTTTCAAGATTTTTTCTTTATCCTTGACTTTGTGTAGTTTGAAAATGATATGCTTTGGTGTAGTTTTTTAGCATTTATTTTGCTTGGTGATCCCTGACCTTCCTGGATCTGTGTTTTGGTGTCCAACATTAATTGGTAGAAATTCTCAGTCATTGTGACTTCAAGTCTTTCTTCTGTTTCTTTCTCTCTTTTTCTTCTGATAATTCCTAGTGTGTGTTTGTTACACCTTTTATAGTTGTCCCACTTGGATATTGTTTGTTTTTCTTTTCAGTTTCTTTCTCTTTGCTTTTTCACACTGCAAATTTCTGTTGACATACCTTAAGCTCAGAGATTCTTTCCTCAGCCATGTTCAGTCTGCTAATGAGCCCATCAGAGGCATGCTTCGTTTCTGTTACACGCTTTTGTTCTGTATCGTTTTTTAAATTCTTCCTTAGAATTTCTGTTTCTCTCCTCACATTGCTTGTCTGTTCTTGCACGCTGTCTGCTTCTTCCATTAGAGCCCTCAGCACATTAAACATGGTTGTTTTAAGCTCAGTGTGGTGGTTCCAGCATCCCTGCTGCATCTGAATCTGGTTCTGATGGATGCTTGGTCTGCATCCATCTGCATCTTCAGACTGTGTTTTCTGCCTTTTGTATGCCCTGTAATTTTTTGCTGAAAACTGCACGTAAGGTCCTGGGACAGGAACTCCAGTTAGTTGGCCTGTAGTAATGTGGTGAGGGATGCAGGAGAGGGGAAGTGTCAGGGGTCCTGTGATTAGCGCTCGTGTTCTGGTGAGGCTGTGTCCCTGGACACCGAAGGTGGGACAGGATGACCGAGGGGCCTAAAGTTGGGTGTTTCCCTTCCCCAGGTAAAATAGTTTCTCTTGAGGGCAGGCTTGGTTTTGAACAGAATGCTCTGGTGTATTTCAAAATGGTACCTTCTCCGCTCCCTAGGCCACAGCCAGGGGGGTTTCCTCAGGTCTTCACTATGAGAACGTGGTGTTGCTTCTGGAGGTAAAACAAAAATGGGACTAGTTTTGGGCTCTCAGACTGTGCATACTAGGTCTCCAGCAGTTTGTCAATTGCAGCTCAGGTTTTTCTACTGTCGGGGGGGGGGGGGAGATTTCCACCTTACTCCTCTTGAGTTCCTTTGGCTGGTCCAATAAAAATTAAATTGATGCAAGATAGATGAACTGGAGGGAAAAAAAAACATCTAAGTTCATATGCATGGAAGTCTCATAGAAATGAGACCCAAAAGTAACAAAAGCAGACTGTTTATGTTATTTTTAGGTAAAGAAACAATTACTTGTGAAAATTTAACATAACAAAGGGGCTTGTGCCTGGGGTAGTAGACTAATGAAGAAGTAACAAAGAAGTTTGTCTCGCAGCTTTCTTAGCCCTGCGTTCCCTCACTGGGTCCTGGTACAGGAAGGGCACCATCACAGCGGAGCTTTTTTCCTGCTTTTAGAGGAGGGTCAGAGTGTTTGGGGTTTTTTCTTAATATCTCCCCCCCACCACCACGGGCTGTTTCTCCAGCAACTTTAATTCAAAATAATAAATACGTCATTTTTGAGGCACATTTAGAGGTTGACAAATACTACTCTGGTGCTGGTTTCTGCTCTAGTAAATTATAATTCTTTGGATTCTTCTGTTTCTCCAATTGGGGCGGCTATGGTTTGCCCTGTGACCTTACTTTTTTGATGGATCTAAGAAGAGCTATTGATTTTTTAGTTGTTTCAGCTTTTTGCTCGTGTTAAGATGGAGTTGCTTACATGCCAGACCAAAAACTGGTCTGCTTCTATTACCTGAATTGTTATTCTAGTAGTCGTAAGAACAATTTGACAGTTATTTTAAAAATTTTTTGAAATTATTTTTAATTGTATTTTTTGGGGGGAGGTAATTAGGTTTATTTATTTATTTGTTTTTAACCGAGGTACTGGGGATTGAACCCAGGAGCAGTCAGAACATACACAACATTCATTAAGTTTGCGGTCTTGTACGGACTTGGTTCATGACTCCCAAAACAATTACAGAGTAACATCGACGATCAGTGATCACAGATCACCATAACAAATATAATGACAAGTTTGAAATTTTGCGAGAATTGCCAGAGCATGACACAGGGACACAAAGTGAGCAAATGCTGTTGGAAAAATGGCACCAGTAGCCTTGCTCCATGCAGTGTCCCCACTAACCTTCAGCGCAGAAAGAACGCAAAATCAGTGGAGCACAGTAGGAGAAGGGCAGTGACACGAGATCTGCCGCACATCCGTTGACACCCCACGAGTGCGGGGCTGCCTCCCCGCCTGCGGTGACCCCAGGGCCACCCGCCTCTGCTCGGCAGCAGCCAGCAAGTGAGTGGTGTGAAATGTGGGCTGTTCACACGAAGGGCTGAAGTGGCTGAGAACCGTTACACTAGGATTCCATTTGTATATTCACTGTTTTGGGGTCTAATATGTAAAGTTCATCGTTTGAAGTCAGTGATGGTGTTTACTAGTTTTTTTATGATGATAAATGCCCTGGGCTCTATAACACTATGCTTCGTGTGATTTGTTGCACTAACTTTACCAGTAAAGATGTGTAATTAATTGGGGCCTGAAAGTCTTGTTTGGTTGATGTAAAAAAAATAATAAATCTCATTATTTACTTTCAAGCTACAGAAGAAAGAAGATCAGCAATTGGAGCCTAAAAAAAGCACCAGCCCTAAGAAAGCTGCAGAGCCCACAGTGGACCTTCTAGGACTTGGTAAGTGATGAAAGCCACCAGCCACAAGTTGAGTTACAAAACAATTGACACCTTTACTTGAAGTGAATGTAACGGCTTTATTGTCAGTATGCTCCAGAGATACCAGAATTTGAAAATTGTGTCATTAGTTTGCTGCGTTCCCACAAGAAGGGAAATCTTTAATAAGGCAGCTAGTGTCTATCAGCCGTGCATTCGCCGAAACACAAGTAATGAGTTCCCTGGGGAGAGAGGAGATGGCAGAGTACCTTCAAAGGCTTGGTGGACTGTGACATTTCAACATTTAAAACGAAGAGTAGATTCTTTTTTCTCGCCCCCTTGCTACCCGCCTGCCCCTCATTATTTCATTTTGCTGTTGGGGGCTTCCCTTAGCAAATAATTCTGGGGTAGCCTTACTGTAAAATGTGTGGTTTTAAAGTGAACTTTATTTTGGTTACCTGGAGCGGCACACCTTACACGCAGCTCTGGCGGCGAGGTTCCCTCGTCTGTCTGACGGCGGCAGTAGGTGCTCCCCGCCACTTGCGTGGTCTCTGCCCCCTGCTGACAGGCAGATGCTGCCTGCCTGGGGGGCGAGCGTGCTTCCCTGTCCCCGTCTGCAAGTACTGTCAGCTCCTCTTACACTGTCTCCTCTTCCTTCCAAAGTAGCTTGATAAATGCTTATTTTTTAGTGCTGTCAGAGCCTTTGGCAGTAATTAACTTAGACAAAATTTTTTTAGTTTGGGGAGAGATTAACAATTAAAGGAAAAGAATGAGAGAGCTGAAAGGTAGAGTTGAACTTCATACACTGCTTTCCAAAAACTGATCCTCATCCTTATTGAGTAAATTGTTTTCTGTGTTTAGAATTACAGTTGAATGTTTCATTCGTTTCCTAGGAAGCTGGTACGTCATGCACACACACTTCCTATAGGTAATGACGGTCTGTGGTGGTGAAAATAAGTGGTGTATTAGAAATATAAAAAATAACTATAATTTTGAAAATACGGCTCATTTCAGGGGCCCTGAATATAATGATGTTGAATTCCAGTCCTCGTAATTGTTTTATTAGCTTTGCTGTAAATGAGAGAAAAGAAAGAAGGCTTATTACCAAAGTAAGACAATATCTTACTAAGACTGTGAGCATTGTTGTCTTCTCTGCAGCATTTCCTTTCCGGTCCGAGAATCCGGTTGATCAGTTTATAACTTAGAAATGTAAGATACAAACCAGGCCTGACTCTTAGCCCAGAAGCCCCCTCACTGATCCAGCGTCTCTTCATAAAGGGTCTGCTGTGTGCTGGGCACCCTTGTAGGCACTGGGCAGAGAACACAGATTACAATATCTGACCTTTTGGAGTCTGCACTCAGTCTGGGGAAACGGTTGAGTGAAATACTCATGGGCCACGTACGGTAAGGGCTGTAGGTGAAAGAAAACAGAAAAGAGTGGTTGTCATTTCAAGTAGGGTGAGGGGTAGGGGCCTCACTGAGCCATCATGGGAGTGAAGACCTGCAGAAGTTGTGGCTCCCTGGACCCGTGGAGGTGACACAGCGAGTGTAAAGGCCCGGCAGCCACGGGACCAGTGAGGAGGAGCTGAGAGGCTGGTCTGGGGGAGAGTGCTGACCAAGAGGGAGCTGGGCATGCTGTGTCAGGACATGGACTTTACTCTGAGCATCCTGGGAATGTGTTGAGGGACTGGAACAAAGAGGCACATAATCTGACTTGAGTGTTTAGAGACTTCTTACAGCTACCGTGTTAGGCGTAGATTGTAACAGGCCAGGGCTGGAGGCAGAGAGACAGTGAGGAAGCTGTGATGGTCATACAGGTGAGGGGAGCGTGGCTTAGGGTAGGGGATGGCATTGGAAGTTATCAGAAGCAGTCGGGTTCTGGGTGTATTTTAAAGACAGAGCCAATAGGATTTGCTGACCCACTGAAATCACAGGATGTTTCCCTTGGGTAATGAGCCTGTGGAACAGGCGAATCTGCTCAGTCGGGACAAGAAAGGTTGCTGTACTGATGTCTTGATGGGATCCATTGCACAGATAGGGTGGCCGGCCTCAGATACTCCACTGTTGCTACAGTGATGTTGCAGAGTCAGGAACTCCTGGAGCTCAGCAGCTGACATCATAAACGTTGACTTCTCTTACTCTCAGGAGCATGGTCAGCTGGGGCATCTCTGTCGGAACCTCAATGGTACGTTTTCTGCCTTCCAGGTTATTGCTGGGTACGCCTGTCTCACCATCACTTGTTTGTCTCTGCTTTTCAAGCTCCCATTAGTGTTTCCCTGTCTCCCCACCCACTGCCTCACAGTCACTGGGTTTAGGGTTTGGTGGTGGCTGCGCCTTCTTCTGGTGTCTGTTTCTGTGATCGTCAGCGGGGGCTGGTGTCAGTTAACGTTTATTTCCCCCACTCATGGGTCTAGGAGTCTCTAGACAATGGGAGAGTTCAGGAACAGTGTCATCAGGGGAGAACTGAGGTTTGCATGGGCGGGAAGGTGAGGGCTGTGTGAAGAAGAGGTTCGGGATGTACAGGGGAGTTGGCTGGGGACTGACAGTTTTAGGTCCTACACTGGACGAGTTCCAGAGGTGGCAGGGTGGGGGATGGGGTCAGGAAGAGGGAGTTTGGAGTCTTGCTGATGGAGATTTAGCAGCAGGACATGGGGTGTCTAACCCAGAGCACACCCCACTTTTCACTCCTGCTGGTTATCAGTAACTTAAACTCTTTTAAAAAATATTTTCAGACTTTTTAAAACTGTGTTAAGCAAGAGATTTGATGAGTTCATGGAAGTTGAGCAGGCCACAGAGAATCCAGTGTCCCTTTCAGCTCATAACAAACGGTGGTCCTAAATCAGGATTGATAAACTGGTGTCTCTTTTGGGCAGTGGACAATTTTTCTTCTGCCCAGGGTGGGCCTGCCACTCTGGTTTTCCCC